TATATACAAAATAGTTAGGATAAATTTACAGCTACTTTCGCTTAACTCAATGAGAAGAAAGAGGTGTACTAACAGTGTTTGGACAGAATATCCTGTCTGCTTCTTGTACTATGGATAGCCACTAAGAAGATAACAATGTACAGTGTATTGATTATCAAAACTGTCCTATTAATCAGCTGTGAAACTGTCTCATTCATATTTATTTCTCAATTAAAAAATAAATATATATAAAAAAAGAACTATCAAACATTTAAATTATCTCATGTGTAGCTTTTACTAAAATGAATACTAACAAAAGGAAAGGGAAAGAAGGAGACCCAGAACTCCTAAGGGCTGGACACACCACACCACCCAATTTGTTCAAATTAGAGCCTGGGGACCGGAGGCATCAGTGACATCACACCAGCTACCCAGAAGCAGAGGCTCTGCTGCACAAGTCATGTGACAGCATCTCGGGACAGCACATCCCCATACGTGAAAAGGACTGCTCTATCCATTGACAGCTGTGAACTTTTTCATTCTCACCTCTGGAACAAGTCTGAAGTCCATAAAGGGTCCATTATTAGTAAATTTCAACTTCCTATCACCTCCCTCAGCTGCTGGTAACTAAGAGGGCTCCTGCCGACCTGCGTATTCATCAAAGTCCCTACACTGACTCTCTCAGAGCACTAACTGCACATCATCTTTCTGCAAACTTATGTAAGAAATGAGTATTTTTCCTTCCAGAAATGACCCCTGCTCACCACTGTGAATAATTGATGACCTGCTGACATTTGCAGTGCTTTCACATCGAAGTACACAGCACTGAATACAGACAGACCTTGGCAATCAGAGCTCTTCTTAGGTAATAATATCTCGAGCTTGAACATTCAAACAGCTTAGGCTATTTCCTAAGACAGTATACAAAGGAAGTTAGATGCTGGATCCTATCTTATTTATAATCTGAGGCAGCATCAATGATATCCAACACTGAAGCATTTGTTCCTACACAGGTCCTGAGCTGGAGTTTTAATGGTACAGAGCAAAGCAAAACAAATATATATAAATGGAAGGAAACAGAGGCTAAAAGCCAACATACCTTCAGCATGTAGTAAAAGGGGAACCATGATAGAAAGAGATCAGAGAAGAACTCGGCAATGCTGAACACACCATACACTACCCAGTAGGTCAGCCACTGGGTGTCGTCATCTTTATTGGGACTCTCTATGGCTTTCATTCTGGAAGGAAATACAAAAGAAAACATGAACTTTAGAAAAATACCAGTGACTTTTTTTTTTTTTTTTTTTGTCTTTTTAAGAAGGATTTCACTATTTGGTTCAGGCTGGCCTTGAGCTCACTTTGTAGCCCAGGCTGGTCTTGAACTTGCAGTGATCCTCCTGCCTCAGTCTCCCAAGTGCTGGGATTACAGATGTGAGCCAAACCCAGCTCAATGAACATTTTCAACATACTCTCACAGCCTGTCCTCTAACACCATGGGGTAACCCAGGCAAATCCACACAGTGTCTGTAGAAGCAGAAGACAAACATGACGATGCAAACCATGTGGAAAGAGGAGAAAGAACAAGTGCTGTCATCGTTTGTCCCAGCCTTTGGCCATCAGAAAAACCAGCCCAAAATGTTACTCTATGGATCTGCAGCATGCTAGAACCAGCACTTTGGCCCTGCCATGCTACCAGTGATCAAACTATGGCAATCCCACTCCTTTGGCGACTACTCAGGAGAAATTCAGGCTCTAGTGCACATGGGCAGGTAGAAACTTCTGGAACACAGGTCAGGCACTGCCCAAACCCATGCATAATAAGCAGGTACAAGCCAACATCTCTGCGTCTATGTAGTTGAGACTGTCTTTGTGTGATCCTTGGACTGTGAGCCCTCCTCCTTCATCACTTAAGTATGTTCTCAGCCCTAACTCCTACTTAGACAAAAGTCATTCTGCAAATGGATAGACATAAGTTTTAGATAATCTTTTACTTCTGAATCACAGACTTCTTCAATCCTAGAAATCTCTTTGTTTTTTTTTTTATTTATTTGAGAGAGAGAGAGAGAGAGAGAGAGAGAGAGAGAGAGAGAGGTGTGTGTGTGGCCAGCTCAGCCCACCAGGGGGCGGGGCTGGCTGGCATGTGGTGCTGGGGGATTGAACCGTGGTCCCTGATGCTTTTGCTAAGCTTGTTCTAAGTAGGTGCTTTAGACCACTGAGCCATCTCTCCAGCCCTAGAAATCTCTTTACTGTGATCCTGAAGCATCACAGTTTCTTAACCTATCCTAAAATATATCTATTGTCATAACTCAGCTGGACTGAGGGTGTAGCTCAATGGTAGAGCACTTGCTTAGCATGAGTGAGGCCCTGGGTTCAATCCCCAGCACAATTAGGGAGGGAGGGAGGGAAGGAAGGAGGAGGAGGGAGGCAAAAGTCACTCCCCAAAGAGCCAGGCTGCTGAATTATGCTGAATCATCTGCTGAAGAGCCTCCAAAGGTTCAGCAGAACCAACCACTGTGTGTAAGAAAATTACCAAAGGGGGGAAATAGCCAAAGGAGGAAGAGTTAGAGCTGAAGGATATGGCTGCCAATGACATATGGAAGACCCAGAAAGTCAAAAGTGATGAAGTAAATGCTGCTTTGATCTTCAAGACTAGGCAAAACATTTTACTTTAAGAACAATCATATGGAATGAATTTATAGAATAATAGCTTATAACAACCAACAAGATGAATTCAAAAGTTTCTATGTTAATACATTAGAGCACTATAAGGTAACACTAAAAAGTAGGAATAAAAGACCCAAAATCAAACCTACACATTAATCATAACTTTTTAGTAAACCAAGGCAAAGAGAAGCTAGCTAATGTAACAGAAGGACAAAGACAAACTTTTAGCAAGCATGTTAACCCAAGAATGAACATAGGATAGCCTTGATATGTAAAACTTTTTTCTTCTGTGCTTTACTTAGTTTGGTATAGCTGTATTTATTTATAGATTCTTTTTTATTTTTTTAAGACAGGGTCTCTCTATTACTTCAAGCTGGCCTTGGATTACAGGTGTGTACCACCATGCTCAGCTAGGAAGGTTCTTCAAACTATCAGTACAATAAAAATTTCTTTTACTTTCATCCTGGCAGAAAGAATAGTTATATTTCATTTAAGGTTCTCTCTTTTTTCTTTTCTGCACAGGGCCAGGGTATACTGGGGATTGAACCTTCACACTGAGCTACATCTCCAGCCTGCCTACTTATTCATTTATTTAATGTTGAGACAAGGTCCCATTCATTAAGTTACTAAGTTGTCCAAACTGAATTCAAACTTCTGATCCTCTTACCTCAACATCCCAGAGGGCAGAGATTACAGGTATGGGGCTCCATGTCCATTTAAGATCTTAAGACATTCCATGACTAAACAATGATCGACAATATGAAAATTCAAAAGTTTCTATGTCCATATACTGGAATACTATATAGTAACACTAAAAAGTAAAAATAAAAGAACTCAAAATCACACTTAAGAGGAAGAGGCAGAATGATTGCTGAAAGTTAGAGGCCAGCCTACGCTCCATAGTGAGTTCGAGGCCAGCCTGGTCTACAAAGCAAGATTCTGTCTCAAAAAAAAAAAAAAAAAAAAAAAAAAAAAA